CATCTGTCCTTGGATCTCGATGTTCAGTAATAATGGTTTCAAGTGGAACCTCATTTCCTCAGATGGGGGATCGATGAAAGCAGCGTCTCTATGAGGAACTTCACATGAGGTTTGTGTGACCCATGTTATTTTTGGCCTTATGTTTTCTGAATAGAAGTCATCTTCTCGCTCGACATCTCTTTTTTCTTGGTATTCTTTGTATTCGCTCACATATTCCGCAGGTAAAATTGATATTACCCCGATTTGATGTTCGTCCCAAGTATCATCATTCTTGTCATCGAAAAATTCTCTTGCATAATGACTCTCTATCGGTGCACCATTTTCTCCAAAGTTTCTGTAATGATTCCAATAGGGGATCCTTCCTCCTCTTTTCCAGGGCCTTCCTCGGAATCTTCTTTGGAATGTTGGGAATCTAGTGGTCGATCCATCATCATACGAGAGTCTTTCGAAAACATCATTACTTTGAAGTCTACCTCTTCCTCCTCGAGAAGGATACATCTCTCTTCTAATCCACTGCCTCCGATTTTCACTAACACCAGAGCCAACGGATTTCTGCTGACTTTCTTCGATCGTTGGTCGGACTGTTTGATCTACTTTGTCATTTTTCCTTTTATTTTGGTTCTCGATCTTCTTCATCTGTTCTGTTCTGAAAGCTTTGGCAGCCGATTTATCGAACACTGCATTACAACGTGGGCATAATGACACATCTTCGTCTTTTTCCTTTTTCCTATTCAAAAATTCAATGAGAGAATCTCCTGATCGAGGGTATATTTCTTTTTCGAACTCTCTCTCGAATTCACTCAGGTCAAATTCCATATCTTCTTCAGACACGTCCATTCTAACGTGTTTAGGATCGATGTCTTCAGTGACATCTACCATGCCTATAAAGGCCGAATTTGTTAATCGGACATCATCAGTAATGCCTGTTTGGGATTCGAGGTATCCAACTTGGGCCTCGAATGGACTCGTGTCAACTTTCATTGTCATTTCTTCGAACCTCAACCTTCCTTGGTCAATCGCATCTTGGATGGTGTTCTCGAAATGTATACAATTGTTAGTCCAATGTCCATAAACATTATGAAATTTGCAATATTTTCGACCATTCCTTTGTTCTCGAGACGGCAGTTTATGATCATCACTCAACTTAATCTGTTTGTCTTTCAATAAAATATCAAAGATTTTGTCCGCTTTTGTTACATCAAAAGTATATGTTCGATTTGCCATTTTATCTTTTACTTCATTCTTTTGTAGCAATTTGCGGGTATATGGAGCCCCTACTTTGAGTTCTGCTAAGTTTACTTTCTCATCGACATTTTCTTCAATATCACTTTCTGTCATATTATCTGTCTCATATACATCATTTATGTATGCTATTCTTTCCTTTTTTTAAAGGTTTCTCATATTTCTTATACATTTGTTTCTCATACTCTATTTGTTCCACTCTTCTCACTTTATCAGCTAATTGAGCCATGTCATTCAATGGTAAATTGACTAGTTTTTTCCTAATCGAGAATTCTAAACCTGCAGAGGCCATTCTGACTAACTCATATTCAGGAATTTGAGTGAAACATCTCGATTTCATTTGTCTAAATCGATTCAAATAATCATCTATGCTTTCATGATTGTATCTTTTTATATTCATTAAGTCGATGAGACTCACTTGAGTTTCTCCTCTAAAGAATTGCTCATGAAAATTTCTTTCCAATTGCAGCCAATTATATATCGAATTGGGTGGCAATGACGTGAACCAAGTAAAAGCACTCTTAGTCAAAGAACTAGGAAAATATTTCATTTTTAATTATTCACTCATCGCAAAATCCCCGCATTCGATCTGATATCGAGCCACATGCTCGATAGTCGATTCACCAACTTCTCCAGCAAATTTAGTGAATTTGGGTACTTTATATCCTCGAGGCAATTCTGTCTCGAGAATCGCATTCGGAAAGGGAGACACAAAATATGTCCGATTGGGTGGTCTAAATTCCATCCCTTGTAAATTCATCCTTTGTCCCAACATATTATTCCGATTGTGTATATTTTGAAATCCTTCGTTCAAATTCCCATAAATATCATTCCTCGCATGTTGATACTCATTTCCCCTACTGCTCTGTTGATCATTGTTTCTATTTCTCCTCAATAGATATGGGGGATTAATATTAGTATTCCGATTAACATGATTTTCTATCCTCGTTTGTCGAGGCACGCCAATGCATCCCCGATTCGTGACATTTGGTCTGCTAATATCTCAAAGCTAGCAGTAGTGTTTTGCACTAATGGATTTAAGACTGTAGTCAATTGTTGTGATAACATATTCACCATTTCAAAATTACTCTCATCCATTTGTTGTCTAAGTACCCCTAATGAATTACTAGATATTCCGGTACCCATGTTTTCGATAGAATCAAAATTAGATCGATGATAGTCTCTATCGAATACATATCTCCCATGATCTAAGTATCCCCTCTGATCTAGATTTGGAGGTATATGTTGTGTGCCTACATTCTGTCCATTCCCTGAATCCTGTGGAATTACTAAGTTTTGCGACGTCCCTAAATTCGGAGGGATTCCAAAATTTTGTGGCATACTTAGTGTTTGGGATATTCCTAAGTTATATCTCGAATTCCTATGCGTTGAAGAAGTTCCAGCCCTATTCACATTATTAAGTGAAAACCCGGGCGGTCTTATACTCATACGTGGCCCTACATATGTGGTTGTGGGATTTCCTATAGTTTGCATATTATTTGGTATCACCGTACTAGATCCTACTTGGGTGTTTGCTAATGTATCTGAATTTTGTTCATTACTCACAGGTATCGACATGTTCACAGTTGTCGATACTACAGGTATGTTCCCATTATGACTTTGCCCCCCAGTATTTGGTGGGTGTGACCCATTTAATCCCTCAATGTTACCTTGGTTATTTGATGAACTCTGACTCATGACTCTCCCACTCCTTAATCTCATACAATTTCGAACTAACCAATTTTGTGTTTCTCAACACAAGACTTCCCTACCTGGCGCGCCAATTTGTTTCTGGTGGAATTTCGATCGATTTCGATTCTAAGGGTATTTTGGTCTTTAATCGAAATCCTCCCACGTAAGCTCTTTTTACTTAGGCTAGCAATTTGATTTTCAATCGAAAACGTCTATGAGAATCGAAAATTACAGGATATCGAAAATGCTGTTTTTGGTATTTTGTATTTTAAAATATCGAAAGCAGTAAAAGTATCGAATCAAGAAACAATGTTAAATTGCAAGAAAATGTAAAGAGCGAAAATCCAAATTTGCATCAATTGTAAATGACGAGGAATCGAAAATACAGAAACATAAAACTGCTGAATTTAAGTTGCATCAAAGTAAATTACCAAGGAAAATACAGAAAGCGGTAAATGTACTCAGTGAGCAAGGAAATCCAGATTGCCAGAAGCTTCATGGTGTTCGTCGTTTCTCCGGTAGACTTTTCATTACTGATTCTGTTCTCTGCCAATTTCTGCCCCTCCCCTGTTCCTTCCTCCTTTGCTCTATTTATAGGGCATCCTTCAAGCCTTCCGAGAGCAGTTAACGCGACTGCTACCATGTTCTACGTGCGTATGACAATTTATCTTCTATAGTTTCCCACGTTCTCACGATCTCCGACTTTTTCCCATGATTTCAAAACTGCTCTTTATACGTGTATTCGACTTACTTCCTTTCACGATTTGGCCAAAAGTCTCGATGTCCACCTTGACTTTCTTTACTCTCGATTCTGTATTTTTCGAGAACTTCGAATTGCTTACGATTCATTTTTAACCCTGGTCTTATATGACTTAGTTTTTATTCGACAACAGTCATTTGATTATTATTCATTCGATTCTCGATTGTGCTTCTCGATGCTATATGCTACGTATTTCTAATTAGACATCGAATAAATTTTTGTTTATCTTATCGGGTCACATTTCTTTCCTTCGATTTTGATCGCTTTTCTCGATTTGCCACTAACACTATGATTATTCACAATGAAATAATTATAGAATATTTTAGTTTTCTTCTTCTTTGGAAACAGGAGTATTAAAAAGTATATTAATGGGAAATTAAGGGTTCACTTAATATCAAATAGATTATGTTATTCATGCTTAAAAATATAATACGTTTGAATATTAAGTGAATAACATTATGCATACAGAATGAAAACAAAATAAATTAATGTCTTGACAAGGAATTTCAAATTTCTCAAAAAGAAACATAGAATATAAAATTAAAATAAATAAAAAAGTTATTTCCCCACTAAAATCTGCTTAGTTTAGTTGTTTTAGTAGTTTGTTAAAGCTCAAGATTAAACATTATAAAAATCTAAAATAAAAGTACATTAGTGCTTTATTTGGTTTAAGGGATGAAAAATAAAATATTTATAAATAAAAAATGAGGTTGTTTAGTTGAATAGAAATTTTGTATGTGTGATTAATTTAATTGAACAAATGGGAAGTGATTAGTTTGAATAATGATAATATTATTTTTGTAAATAATAAAAAAAGTTGAGAGAAAAAAAATGGTAGAAAATGTTGTAAGTAATTTTTCTTTTGCTTGATTTTGTAATTATGATCTTTTGATTTTGGATTTATGTTAAAAATATTGTAAGTAGTTCATCTTTGCTTTATCTTCTACTCGTTATATATAAAAAAAAAAGTAATTTTGAAGTGTATTTTTTTTTGTTTTCTCTCATTTATCTAAATAAAGACCAACACATAAGGGAAAAATTAAAAATCAGACACCGGAGAACGAAAATTTCCAAAATAAATTAATTTCCAATTTTAATCTTAAACATTTGCTCAGTTATTTTTGAGTTATGTGTTTTTTTAAATAAAAGTAAAAATTTTCTTTTAAGTTTCGTATTGACAAAAATACCCCTACAATTTGATCATATTCTCGGCGCGCATAGTCCCTCCATCTTCCCTACTATAAAATGCACTCAACTCTCTCGATTTTCTTCGAAGCGAAACCAAAACTCAAAACAGGAAGAACTCATGGCGCCAAAACGAAAACCTTCTTCTCCTATCTCCATCGGTGATTCTTCAAACCCTAGAATTCACAACTTCGATTCAATGCACTCCTAACTTCAATTCTCACCTTCTTATTGCGCAGGTAACTGCGAGGTTACTGTCGAGGCCACTCGTTTCACATGCAACTCTGATTCAAACGGCGTCGTAATCTCGCTTCCCCGAAGCGGAAAGATCCAAGTGTCAGGTATTACTCAAATCATACGAAACGCAATGCCGTTTGAGTATGTTCGATTTGATTAACGGTTTTCACTAATATTCCTTTAAGCTGCAGTTGTTGCAAACCATGGGAACGCTTCCGAGGATTTTGGGTCTGTTGATAAAGGTACAATGCTACATTCATGGGTGTTTCGTTTATATTAATCTTGAGTCATTAATAGTAACTCGTAAATTAATGTGTATAATGCTTGGTATTTGCTTTATAATTTCTAGAGCATGAGTTCGTGCTGGTTAATCCTAAAGATGCTGATTCTATTAGTAAGTCCTACCTTCAGGTAGCTCTCTCTCTCTCTCTCTCTCTCTCTCTCTCTGGCCATACTTATTTAGGGTCCAATTGGGTGAATAACTTATTTTGAGTGTTTATTGTATAAGCATTTGTGTCAGTTGTTTCTACAATTGGAGAGTGTTGTGCATGACTTATTTGGGTCTTGGGTCCATTGTTTGTTGGGGTGATATTGTTCAATACAAAGTGATATTGTACGGGACAAGAGTGATATTGTTATAGTTTGTAAACAAATCACACGTTAGGACTCTTAGGGATCAAGAAATGAAAACTACAAGAAAGACTCACTCTTGAAATTATTGATAAACAAAAAGAGGAAAACAGTTTACACAAAGGAACTATATCTCCTTACACTGGATAACCCAGTCACAGCAAAGCTAATTTTCAAAGATTAAAAAGTCTACAACAGAGAAGGCTAACAAACTCTATCTGAGTCTCCCAACATATAGAAAGGAAAGCTTAATTCCTATTTTTGAACTTCTTCCCACAATTGACACGCCAAACCTTCTCCTTATCTGGAACAGTGTCTTGTCTAACATCATTACTTATTACATAATTTTTTCCAAATACTTGAGCAATGTGTATGTCATAAGATAAGTCTAATAGTGTGTTTGGATAGCTTCAAAATCAAGCTGACTACCATAAAATTACTAAAAAACATGATTTTTTTTTTCTTCCAAAACCAACATCACAAACACGCTATAAATAAGTTGTAAATAATTTATTTCAAATTCAATAGCATAACTCATTATTTATTTGGAGTACTTTATAAACATCTAAATTTAGGGTAATAAATTAACCTTCCCATTTTTCCCTATTTGAAATGTGTCTGTAAATGGATTTGCAGGAAGTATTACAAATGTATAAAACAGAGCTACCTGGAATGAATTATGCTGCTAATACCGGAAAACAATCCAAGTTCCTTGAGAGATGTGTGACTAATGGGTATTAAATTCTTATTCTCCTTTTGGTTGGATGTTCATAATGCTTCGTTGGTTGTGTTGCGGCTAGTTCATTGACTGTGATGATTTCAACAGTATATTTTTTCACAGGTTTTTGTATTTGTTTTTGTGAACTTATTTTACCCGGTTTAACAGTAGGTTTTGTCTTGCAGGAAATATCGAACGCTACTGGTAAAATCCACTTGTGTTGGAAATTCAGGGAAGGTATATATTTGCTAGATAACTATACTTAGCCATTAATTGGAGCACGTTTTATATCAGTGTTATATTTTTAAGTCTTCAAGCCGCACTATTTTATCTTCTAAATTTAATTTGTGTAAATTTGTTATAGTATGTTTCCTGTTTACAAATTATAGTAAACACGTATCAATTTCTTTTAAGAGATAGCGTAACGTAACAAGCTTAGCCCTGAGATGCCGTACTGTTTGAGTACAACATATACTGAGCATGTATATATTTCTTACAGAGAAAACTTGACAATTTTAGCCCTGATATTCGGTGGAGTCTGTTGGATTGGTAATCAAATTGCAGAATATATTAAATCATGGAATGTTCTATAAACAAGTTGACACAGTCTCAGCGATTGCCCTGATTGATCTTTGCCAATAATTCTCTCCTTTTTCATCTTATAAACCATCAGACTTATAAAACGAAAAAAAAACTGTTGCAATCTTTTAATGTAAGCTATATAACGAAGCTTAGCTGTGGGAATCAGAGTAGTAGTATATGTATTATTACATCTTAAATCGTGATTGACTTATGTTTGGCAGGTTATAGCTGCAATTACATACCAAATCATCCCGGCAGATACAGAATTTGCAGAGATCCCCCTTGCAGCTGTCAATGCAATCTATCAAAGAAAGGTCTTTCCTACATTTTACATTTTTCTTCTTTATTTCAATATGCATTGTTTTCTCCCATCTGAAAATGTCTCATTTGGAGTCATCTTCAAGAAATAAACTTGCAATGGTTAATTATAAAAACATTCTTATGGTTTTTATTACAACACTAAATAAAGCTTCTGTTTAGTTCCAATTGTAGTTTGGTTGATTTTCACCCTTTTACCTTACAATAAAGTCAAGTATGTAACAAAATTAAATAACGAAAATTTACAAGGTCATATTTTTAGTAGGTCTCGGATGTTTTGGAAGTTAACTGCCTGAATTTTGATATTGATGGCAAGATCATTCTTCTTACAGAGTTATGTGACATACTGTATTTTGATGTTGTTTGTTCTAATTTATGTGTATCTCAGTTATATTGAGCTGTGGCAACTTATATGACATGATAAACCTGTTCCTAATTCTCTTTCTCACGTCATCTGTTGTCTGTGTTTACATGGTTTGGAGCTTGTGGTAATATGGATTAAAATAAGGTTTCTATCTCAATTAATCGTTGGTTAAATCCTGCAGGGTTTTGGTCATTTATTGGTTCTAGAGCTACAGAAGAGACTTCAAAATGTTGGAATTCGTTCTATTTTATGCTGGGGAGACAAAGAATCAGAAGGATTTTGGCTGAAACAGGTAATTTACAGATAAAAATTCCCTGGAAGCTTGAGCAGATCATAGAGTCATTTTTGGTTATTGTATAAATGGTTGATATTTCATTTCTCAGTCTATAATACTTGATTGATATGTGAGCATCCCAGTGGTCCCGTAAAAGTTGCTCCTTTAGTTATCTAATGTTATGATGTTTCCCTTTTTGAATTACAACTACAGGGATTTGTAGAAATAGCACAGGTAGATAACAAAGGAAGGGCCCGCAGATTACCTGTAAAAGCTGATATTCAAAAATCATTATGCTTTCTTGGTGGTTCAACTCTCATGGTTTGTCACGTAAGGAAAGAATTCTTAGCTGATGATGCTAACACTATGAAGTGTCTCCCCTCAGAGTTTCATCAAAATTCTTTTACACCTGCCATTGCTGAAGATGAGCAGCTGGAATTGTCGGGTAAGTTACACGTAGATTTGAAGTTTCTGGATAAATGTTCCCGTAGAACAGAATCAGGGAAAAGTCAACATGAAGCTTTGGTTAAAGATGGATTTTCAACAGAATATGACAAACTCAGTGGTAGTGCATCAATCAGTGACTCCTATACTTCTAAATGTGAATATGTAATTTATAATTTAAATAATATTCTTTTTGTGTGGGAAAAGAAGTAGTAAACAAAATATCTTATGAAGGGCTATTTGACGGTTTTTTATGTATTTTTTGTTGTATTACTCTATGAACAGGATTTGACTGTCATAATCCTAAGCCATGCTGTAGTAGTATTGCTCCTTTTGCCCAAGTAAACGATGATAGACAGGCCACTGGTGCAGAAAGTTCACAGGATAGAATTGATGCTAATGTGAATTATTGTTCTCATTCTACAAAAGGTGCAAAAAGGGCCTGGGAAGCCTCTTTATCCTCATTGAAGTCAAAAAGAGTTAAGGGGAGCCAGTTGGTTGACTATCAATCAGGTTGTAGCTGCGGTTTTATCTTAGAGAATGATGAGGACAATCCCCGTTTTGAAGATGTCCATCATGATCCTTCGATTACAAAAAGTTCAGAAAAATATATTGAGGATTATTTACATTTAGAAGCTCCCATCAACATAGAACCGCGATCTACTAAACAATGCTTTAGAATTATGTTGATGAATATTGCTGATGATGCTAAGAAAACACAGCTTACAAAGGTATGTTTAATTACCCAAGCATTATATAAATGTTTTGATAAATTTATGAGTAATATTTTTTTTACTGTTTTTGAGACACCTGGCTCATCCTGTTGACTGTATAGCCGTTCTCTTTTCCACGATTAATTTTTAGCTGCTGACAGGAAAAATGGTCTATGTTAAACTTTATAATTTTTTCTAGTAATAGGATAGAACCTGGAAATTAACTAACATGATAAGGTCTAGCTGTTCCTTTCAAGTTAACACCGTTAGACATTTGTTCTATGTACAGGTGATTGAAGACCTTGGTGGTACTATATCCTATGATGGTAGTATGAGCACACACATTGTTACAGGAAAAGTGAGAAAGACTCTGAATTTCTGCACCGCCCTTTGTTCAGGGTAGGTTCAAAATAATATTTTCAAATGCTATATTTGCCTAGTTTCATACTGCTGATATTTTTTTTTATGTTGAGATCTAGTTTTAATTTGAAGCAACTATTTGAAATCTTGGCATCTTGATTTGTAAATAAATTTCTGGAACTATTGTGTGTTCAAAACAGCTTATAAAATTGAGCTATTGAAAAAATGATATATCCTGAAAAATAATCAAATCTAAACATGTCGAAGATGATTTAGTCTAATTCTTATGATGTTGTTCATATTATTTATCAATGTATGTCTACTACATTTTTCTATGTATTAATCATATTAATTATTTATAAAAAGAGGTTATTGGTGACTATACAGTGCTTGGGTGATCTCATCTAGTTGGTTAAAACAAAGTTTTCGTGAAGGCAGATTTGTTGGTAAAGTGGCACAAACTTTTTTGTCTATCCAATTATTATTATTATTCAGGAAGTATACACACTAATTTTGAAAATTGAATCTGCAGATGAACTGCCTCACATACTGAATGATCCGGATTATCCGCTGAAGTACAAATTTGATTTAAAAAGTGCAGTTTTACGGGCAAAAGCTAGCCCTCATACTTTGTTCAAGGGTTATAATATATGCATTGCAGCTCATGTTCAAACTCCTGCTAAATCATTGTCTGCAATTGTCATGTCCGCAGGTGGTAATGTAAGTCCAATTATATTTTTACCGAAACTTAAATTTAAGCAGATCTTAAACATTGCTGCATATGTCATTTCCGGTCATTTGGACATGCTCAAAGCATTAAACATCTAAACACAAGAAATTATTGTCACATGGCATCAGTGCTTTTAAAAAATGTCTATCTTTCGTACATAATGTAGTATCCGTTCCTCTTTAGGTTTCTAATTTGGAGGTAACTGTAGATAATACTTATTTTTGCGGTCCACCTTGGTTATTTTCAAAAAAGCTTTGTTGACAAAATGAATTCAGTCAACCTAGATTCAGAAACTAGCTCTTAAAGTTTCTTAGCAGTATATTTTATTTTGTCTTTTAGTTACCGTCATATTTGATTAGCAGTATATTTTATTTCCTTGTCGCCTTTGTGGCTGAGGTGGCCTCCTGGTCTTTTGCATATTCGAGCACATTACCATATTGGGCTCGTTCGTTACAGCCACTTGCATGTGTTGCCCATTTATAAAATATTAATTGCATAACACATATTCCATGTGATGAAATTCCACTCATTTTTGTATTAGGTTATTAGTAGCCTGGAGAAAGTAAACGAAACATCAGCAACAATCTTTGTGACGAGCGAAGAAGACACTGAAGAAGCAATGGTGGCTGCAAAGAAAGGGATCCGGACTTTCAGTAGCGATTGGTTTATGAACTGTGTCATGAGACAAGAACTTGACTTAGAGGCCCCACAGTTTGCCCAGTCCTTATAAGGATGTTACTCACATTCTCTGTGATCCATTTCAATTGGTATATAACAATCTCTCAATTTTAGACTCTTTCCGTTTCAGTCATACATATATGATTAGGTTTTAACACATACTATACTGTACACGTGGTTGAGTTAGGTTTAGGAATTGCAAAGGAATTCTTTTCATGCACAGTTAGACCACTCCTACGCTACACCTACCACTGCTTTTACTTTTTACTTAAATTTAATTTTAATCTCAATTTTGGCACTCATTAAAATTGTAAATATAATTTACTTTTTTAATTTTACAAAATTAATTACTAATAGAAAAAATGTTAAATGTAAATAATAATAATAATAATGTCAATTCCTTATTTGTGTATGAGATTACAATAAGTTTAACAACAAATAAATGATAATAGATTAAAATAATTTAATTTCAAAAATTAAATATATAAATCTGTAATTAAAGTTACATATGAATTAAAATTACACGTTTACTTGACAGTACCCTTTATTTATTTATTTTTTGGATTCTGGCCGGTGCGTTTTTTCCATTCGTTTATGCGGATGAAACAAATCCATTTTTGAATTTGAACCAAATCTCAGTTTTCTTTTATGTTAAGTTAGTCTATTAATTTCATATAGTAAATCTATAATAATTTTTATAATTTCATTAGTTATTTGTTTATAATATTAATAATTTTTTTTCACTCTTTTCTTTTATTTTCTTTTTAATTGTGAATAAATTAGAAAAAAATGGGCTGAAATAAAGTTTCTTATTTTTTCTTGTTTATCCAATGATGCATAATAGTGGTCATTGGCTTGCCTGGTACATAAAGGATTTTTAACGGTTGTTACGTGTTGTCAATATTAAAAGTTTCACGCGGTTAATTAATAAAAAATAACTCTTAAAATTAAAATTTATCATATAGAATAGATTGTGATTAGATTAAGAAAGAAAATAAAAAAAATAAGTATTTGTGAATAGTAATGCGTTGGAAGAAACTACTTTCGAATATTTCTTCACTTCCACACAATCGTCTTATGCTCTCCTTCTTCCCTTCTTCATTAGTACAAGATTGAACCATGAATCCAGATGCGTTTTGGAAGAAACTAGAACTTGTTCCCTCTGTTACTAGCCTTATATGTCCGATATGAACGATACAGATTGATCAATTTTTCGAATGAAAGGTTCTGGTGCTTTGAACCAAAAACCCAGAAGATAAACTGAGTTTGAATGTTGAAGGCAGTACACTAGTGCTAGAGAAGTTCAATATCGTCAGTTGATTCGTTTATTTTTGTTGTAGTACATTTCTTACACTCAAGTAATTGTAGTGAAATTAATTCTATTATTATAAATGTTAAAAATAATTATTTATACAAAATACACAATAGGATTCTGATTGTAGTATTTTTAGAAACGAGAATAATAAAAATGCCTTTAATTAAATGTAACCGAAAATAACAAAAAGAGTGGTGAGGTGAAACGAGGCTTCTCTATGTGTGAACGATAAGACAGTGAATTATACAAATTAACAAGAGTGATTATTGAGAACATAATGACTATGTGATTGAGAAATTATCGTCTTTTGAGAACTTATGTCAGTGAGTGAGTGAATGACTCGTAAGAAAGAGATTTTGTTATTTTATCATGCGACGCTTACACCATAGTATGTGCTATCCACCTTCCACTCACCCCTCTTTCTCTCTGATGCCAACTACACCTCTGCTTTGCAGTCTACTCATTCATCATGAGACATCAATCTTGAAGAATATAAATGCTTGAATTTCAAAAATATCTGAACATGCAAAAACTATAAACCTTAGATATTCATAAACATATGAACGAATCAAGTTTATTAATTGCCCCATTTTCTAGTTCAAAACTCCAGTAATCCGAAGGAAATGGGTTATGCCAGCTAGGATATACTCACCTGTGGTATAACTCTAGGCACCTCAACTCCTACGTTAGTTCATTAGACGAAAAAGGCAAAGAATAGATGGACTCACAATTGTATCCGAGTTTTCTCTAGTACTTCGTAGTTCTGCTTCTGCATCGATCCACATTGCATCTTCTCCATTAAGTTCACACATCAAATCCGAATTCATCCCAAGAATACGATGAAGAAGCAAGAAGGAGCTACAGGCAAGGAAGCTGAACTTGCAGGGCATCAGCCACCAATGCCAGCTGAAGCTGCAGCGGCGGATGAGCCAAGAAGCAATAGACCTCATGCTGCTCAGCTCCTAGGTTTGATAAAATGTCTGCACATGCGTTATCTTGTCTAAGAGAATGAATCAAGTCCAAGGACCAATTTCTTTGCATGAGGGAGCGTATATCAGCAAGCAAGCCACCATAGGCACAATCCTCAATATTGGCCTCCTTAATAAGATTTATAGCTTCTAATGAATCAGTTTCAACCAGCACGGTTCTGTAACCCAAATCCCAAGCTGTGATCAAACCCTGACAAATGGCATAAAGTTCAGCTTTCACATTCGTTGCAAGGCCAAGAGATCCATAGAACCCACCAAGCCACTTCCCTTCCACGTCACGAAAGAGGCCCCCATAACCAGCATTTCCAGGATTGCCCATGCAACAGCCATCCACGCTCAGCTTGATAAAAAGTTTTAGACGTGAGTTTTGGGAGAGAGATGTGGCAGCAGCAGAAGTACCCTCTTCCCCTTTCAGATGCAAAAGGATTGAATATTCTTTTACCAGAGACTGAATCAGAGAATACAACCCATCATTCTCTGTTGGAGAATTTCGCTTGTAGATGGTACTATTCCTATCCTTCCAAAGCAGCCAAATCGTGACGGTAAACCTCAAACAGTCAGCAGACCAGTCCCTATTGGGCAACCAGGGCTTCTGAAGGAACCTGTGCATCCAGTCATGAAGAGATGTTGAAAAAAACTCATCACGCACCTCAGGAGGAATCATTTGTAACCAGATTGCAGTAGCTCTTGTACAGTCTCGTAAAACATGGATGGCAGCAGTCCCTTCCAAGCTGCAGAATGTGCACCTTCCATTACCAGGCAAGCGATCACAGAGGATAGCCAAGAGGAAAGTCTTGCAATGTTGAGGAACCTTGAGACGAGATATCCATCTCCAAGATAAAAAGTGAGGAGATAAGCAACCACCCCTTGGAATTGGAAGACATTGATTGGCCGAATTAGCGTCGCATTCAGACAGTTTTCTGCGCCAGTTTTCAGCATCTTCCTTACATAATATGCGCCATCCACATTTCTTTATCACTAATTTGCTATTGAGACTAGAACTAAAAAATATTAATTGAAACTTGTCTTGAACATAAAACCAGCGAGCCGAATAGAAAGGAATATACAAAATCAACAGGTGAGGATATTTATGATTTGGGATTCCAGAGATGAATCCCTGCTCCACTTTGTGACACAGTTGCTGCAAAATATTTTTGAAACTAGGAACTTTTGAAATCCAACCAATGCGATAATCCTGTGAAGGTGAAGACTCCACATCTTCTACAACTAGGCAAACCAAAGTTCCCCACCATTCACTTCTATGATACCGCTGACGAAGTTGAGCTAAGTCCATCGATATTGACACAGTAGAATCAGCCCAAATGTAGTTTTCTTTCAAGTATTCTATGTCTTGGACTTGGTTGAGATGCTTTTGATAGAAAAAAAATGATGGAATTTCATTTCCTGGACTTACCAATAAGGTTTTAAGCTTATTGGCATCTTGAATCTGTTACAAGGAAATCAGCATGTTAATAATTTGACAAGAAATGAGACTTTATTATAAAGAGAAAGATGCATTGAAAGACCTTATCAAAGGCAAATGATGCCAAATGACCCCATATCTGTTGCGGATCTGATAAAGGTTTCATTGAACCACAATCACTCAAATTTACATAATGTACATCTGGTGACAGCTTTGGAAATGACTCCAAGCTTGGGCAGCACTTCAATAATAGTTTTTCTAGCTTCAAAAGTTTGGTGATGCAACCAGTAGGAAAGTGTACAAAATTGTTCCCACTTAGATCTAATGTGACCAAAGATGATAAGCAGCCAAGATCTTCAGGAATTGATCCATCGTGGAGATTGCAATAACTCAAGTCTAGTTTCTTCAACGAGGATAGACCAGAAAAAGACGGCAAGATTCTCTTTGGAGTTGGATGACTATTAGACCTGAAAATCTTCTCCAAAGGGAGCAGTGAGCTCCATGAGTTTGATGTCAGGCCTTTGCATCCACGAAATAAAAGCAGTCTGAGATTTTTTAAAAGAACAATGGACGAAGGCACTTCCCTAATAGCAGTCTCGCTTGCATTTAAAGATTCCAAAGCCTCATTTTGATTCAAATTATCAGGCAGCTTAGAAATTTTTGAGCAACCAGAGATATTGAGCCTTCTGAGAGATTTCAAATTAGAAATGGTATTGGGAAGGCAAACAATATTTTTGCAACCCTGTAAAAACAAGTTGTTAAGACCTGTCAAGTGACCCACAGACACGGGAAGTTCATATATGGAAGTCTCCTCTAAAGCAAGCATGGATAGACTTTTCATACTTTCCCCAAACACAGGAAGATTTCTAACTGCGGAGCAGCCTGAAAGAACTAGACGTTTTAAAGAATCCATTAACAATTTTCTTGGAAGTATTTTGAGATTTTTGCAATCTTCAAATGTCACATACGAAAGCTTCTTAAGAAGTCCAAGAGATGCGTGAACCTCAACTAGGTTTACACAGCCTTCAAGATCCAATTTTTCAAGATTTGGAATTCCAGTGAAATCTGGAGTTCTATATAGATCATTGCAATTTCTCAAATTGATGATCTTCAAATTTTCCAGAAACTGGAAATAAATAAATGTACATTAGCTCTTAAAAAAATTACAAAAGATCCAGATATTGAATGGAAGAATGTTGTTACCTTTGTTCCTCCCCAAAGGTGTTTTATTTTGCTATGGCACATATCAAGCTCAACTAGTTCATCCAGTTGAGCTCCAACTGGAAGTGATTCAAGAGGATATTCCTTCCATACAAGAACTTTTA